TGGTAAATGAACGCTGCATTTGTATTCGATCGAAAGAATCAAAGATTGCTGGCCTTACTATTATATCAATATTATACTATTGAATTTAAACAACGTCTTTATTTATTATTATCTTCCCACGGGAAGGATATCAATTCGGATGTAAAAAAAATTAAGTGTAATTTATTAGAGTTGAGATATAGTTTTTTTTTCTTTTCTTTAACATTTTTGTGAGTAAAGGTTTAAGCTATGACAACACAAACTAATTCTTAATTAACATTATATAATCAGATAACTCTAAATTCAATGAATATTTAGTGAGTTTCAAAGAAGATTGAAGAAGTTCCGTCCCTTTCCAATTTCTCCATGCCAGTAAGTGCTGCAAAAATTTAGAGGCATCAAGTTTAAAAACACCCCATAGCACTTAGCGGCAAACAAACAATGTATATGATGAATAATTTTTAATTGCCTTGCTAATTTATTTCACAAATGCTCTCTATTTCTTCGAAATAAAAATATCTAATCATGCTACCTGAGAAAAGCTTGAACTTTTACTAAACTTAATAGAAAAACGCGATGAAACCAGCAAGTGTCAACAGTCACGATATGCCGCTAACAGCATAGAGTCGGTTATATATATATATATATATATATATATATATATATATATATATATATATATATATATATATATATATATATAAACCATTATCATTTAGTAATCTGAACCAAACCATACGTTAATTTCTAAAGTATAAAATTCTAAGAAGTTATTTCTTGTAGAAACCAGTAAAAACCAATAATAATGTCTTTTAATTATGTCGATTTTTTGTTCGATATTGTATTTTTTTTCATAACATATTTTTTCCTTTACTTTCTAGATACATTCATCATCATTAGTCACTATAATTAAGCTCTAAATTTTACCGAAAAATGTCGAAGACCTTGAGAGAATATATCCATATAAAGGCATGATTAAATCAAATTCAACATAAATGACTAAGATGAACGCGTTGCCAATAAATGCAATTGATAAGGAAAATTCCAAAAGAAGAATCTTTTTACAGAAAGTGATGGGGGATTTTAGCCTTTACATGAGGGACATGGATTATGTTCAACATAACAAAGGTTAATGTTTAGTGATTTGATGAAATAGACATCCTTAATAAATTTCTAGAACCATTCCTGTCCTTTGAATAGTGTCACGTATAACAGATATTGTGTTGCTAATATACGGAAATATTATCAGAAATTTATAATTAACAGTTATAACATATACGTATAAATACAAGTGATTTCTCTCAATTAGTTATTAGTATTCTTATCCCTGCCGTTTGTACATCAGATTATGTTTTACCCTGTTTACCTCGTTCTGTACACAGGCCATCTTCATGCAGTATCTAAATTTTCAATAGTATCCCATAATTACAGAAGCACCTTTCATGAATTATAGAGCTCTCAACATGGGATAATATCATTTTTCTTGTAATTGGAATTATTTTATTCAATAGGTAAAATGCTGAAATACTTATATATCAGAAAAAAAAATAAGGGAGCATGGGTGAGAGACTTCTGGATACTCCGTAGGTGATATAAGAGTTAAACACAGTCACAATAGATAGCCTTGACACCACTTTACTGATGATGTGTTAATCATAGTTCTTATTCTGAATAGCAGATATGTATTGGAATTTTGACGATTCGGATCCAAAAATGTCAGCAAAAGTACAACCTTTAGTTTGAATACACAGTGGGCAACGTTATAACGATGAAAGTGTTAAGAGATGCTGGATTTCTTTTTTATCTGAGTAGAATGCAACATTAAGTTATATGATTATATATCTTTTGTTTTATAAGTTGTTTTTTCCTTGTAGAAATGGAAAACGTTGTGAAATCATGTCCCCAAAACGCCACAGAGGTCTTGGAATCCTCCACCAGACTGGGCTGTGGTGTAGACAAGTATGGGAACGATCAGTATATCTGTGTTTCTAACAGAAACAAAACAGGACTAGTAGAACTATGTTACAACGGTGTCATGGAATTGATACAAAGAGGTAAATGTCGCAGTAATTTAAGTGTTAAACAAGAGGCCCAGGGGCCACATCGCTCATCTGAGCAATTTACTAGGAAAAAGTACATGTCAGATCAGAACTGAACGTTTTCTGAGGGGGGAGGGGTTGGTGGGTTGAATTTTAACCCCCAGGGGGTCATGATTTGAACAAACTAAAATCTACACTACCTGAGGATGATTCCCCATAAATGTCACTAAGCATGGCTTTGAATTGCTTGAAAAGATCTTAAAAAGTTTCCCTAATATATATTCCTATGTAAAAATTTGATCTGTCATTTGGCCCCACCCTACACCCGGGGTCATGATTTGAACAATGTTGAATCTACACTACCTGGAGATGACATCACAGGAGTTTCATCTTTCTTTTCTCAATATTTATTGAGAAGAAGACTTTTCGTAGATATTCCTTTTGAAAAACTTTGATCAATCATTGTGGTCCCACCCTAGACACAGGGTTCATGATTTGAACAAACTTGAATCTACACTACATGAGAATAATCCCATGTGAGTTTCATCTTTCCTGGCCCAGTGGAGTTTTCGTAAATATTCCTTTTGAAAAACTTTGATCAATCATTGTGGTCCCACCCTAGACACAGGGTTTATGATTTGAACAAACTTGAATCTACACTACATGAGAATGATCCCACGTGAGTTTCATCTTTCCTGGCCCAGTGGAGTTTTCGTAAATATTCCTTTTGAAAAACTTTGATCAATCATTATGGTCCCACCCTACACACAGGTTTCATGATTTGAACAAACTTGAATCTACACTACATGAGAATGATCCCACGTGAGTTTCATATTTCCTGGCCCAGTGGAGTTTCATCTTTCCTGGCCCAGTGGTTCTTGAGAAGAAGGTTTTTAAAATTTCTCCTATATATTCCTAATATGTAAAACTTTGATCGGCCATTTTGGCCCCATCCTACCCCTGGGGGGTCATGATTTGAACAAATTTGAATCTCCACTACCTGAGGATGATTCCACATGAGTTTCATGTTTCCTGGCCCAGTGGTTCTTAAAAAGTTTTTTTAAAAAGATTTCTCCTAGATATTCCTTTGTAAAATTTTGATCGGCCATTTTGGCGCCACCCTACCCCCGGGGGTCATGATTTTCATAAACTTGAATCAACACTACCTGAGCATGATTCCACTTGAGTTTAATCTTTCCTGGCCCAGTGGTTCGTGAGAAGAAAATTTTTAAAGATTTCTCCTAGATATTCCTTTGTAAAACTTTGATCGGTCCTTTTCGCCCCACTCTACCCCCGGGGGTCATAATTTGAAGAAACTTGAATCTACACTACCTGATCCTGATTCCACAATAGCTTCATCTTTCCTGGCCCAGTGGTTCTTGAGAAGAAGGTTTTTAAAATTTCTCCTATATATTCCTAAAATGTAAAACTTTGATCAGCCATTTTGGCCCCATCCTACCCCTAGGGGGTCATGATTTGAACAAACTTGAATCTCCACTACCTGAGGATGATTCCACATGAGTTTCATGTTTCCTGGCCCAGTGGTTCTTGAGAAGAAGATTTTTACAGATTTCTCCTATATTCCCTTGTCAAACTTTGATCGGCCATTTTGGCCCAACCCTAACCCCTGGGGTCATGATTTTCATAAACTTGAATCTACACTACCTGAGGATGATTCCACAATGAGTTTCATCTTTCCTGGCCCAGTGGTTCTTGAGAAGAAGATTTTTAAAGACTTTTCCTATATATTCCTATGTTAAAATTTGATCGGCCATTTTAGCCCCATCCTACCCCTGGGGGGGGGGGGGGGGGTCATGATTTGAACAAACTTGAATCTTCACTACCCGAGGCTGATTTCACTCGAGTTTCATTTTTCCTGGCCCAGTGGTTCTTGAAATGAAGATTTTTACAGATTTCTCCTATATATTCCTTTGTAAAACTTTGATCGGCCATTTTGGCCCCACCCTACCTTCGGGGGTCATGATTTTCATAAACTTGAATCTACACTACCTGAGCATGATTCCACTTGAGTTTCTTCTTTCCTGGCCCAGTTGTTCTTGAGAAGAAGATTTTTAAAGATTTCTCCTAGATATTCCTTTGTATAACTTTGATCGGTCATCGCAGCATTGTTAAGGATGAGAAATCAACGGAAAATAGACGAGCAAAAAAGGGGGATTTTTTAAAATTGAATTTATTTTAATTAAGCTGTTTTATTATCACAGAACTTTCATATTTACGGAAATAGCATTTTATAACCCACACTGTACTGTATGAAGTTTAGTCCCATCGATGGACAGTCACGTGATGAATGCATAGTTTGTGTACTGAATGTAGGTCATTAACAAATTTCAATATCGCAAGGGCATATCCTAGTTGAAATGAAAATTAGAAGCTATTAATTGTTTCTGCATACTTTGTAGTTTCTGAAAAGTGCTGCTGCTTTGAACAGAATTCGCATTTTAATAGTTAAATTTTCAAGTAAATAGTCCAATGTCGAAATATGTTTGACTTTTACCAAATGTTTTGTGTACTTATAAAATCACACCCCCGTTTTAAAGAAAGCAGCAAAACTTTTCAAGTTAAGGAAAATATCCTTTATCTATATTCAAAAAAATGGTTCAGATCTATGCAGTGTATGCCCTTGCAAGAGTGCGATTTTATGAGGCATCTCGATGTAAAATATACGTAACCTGTACATAAAAACACGACATAATTAATGAAATACATTCTTTCGGTAATTAATTAATAATCGCACTAAACAAAGGATATACATTGGTATTAATCAACTATTCAAAACCTGTAAATGATATGCCACTTAATACTAAAATCCATTTTTCATTGTTTAAAAATTCCTCAATCTGCCTCTCACAGCACATGTAATACGTCATTTTACCAATATGACGTCATGTTTACAAGCTCATCGCGATCAGTGCTTTGTTTATAACCAGCTACTTGGGATTTATCAAGCAAATTTTTCTAATGCAGTGACAAGTTATATTTTTTTATTATGCAAATACAGTTAAGAGTTGCAAATTATTTCATTTTCAGGTATTATGAGAACTACCAAATAATTCCTGAAGATGCCAAAATGAAAGATTTTTTTTATTGAGGGCACAAATATACAGTAACTAATTTTTCTATATATAATATTACATTGTTTATTTATCGACTTCATGGGGGATGGGGGGGGTTGCTCTTATCCCAAACCTCTCAACCCCGTTCCTATATACGAACTTGTGTGCATGTACATGATGTTTATCTGTTTATATTTGTGGATTATAAAAAAAGCTGAAAATATGCATTGATGTAGGGTGGTTTATTTTTCTTAGTACATTTTGTCTTAAAATTATGCTCCCCTATGTCATTGTTTGTTAACCATGCATTTATCGTCCAGACAAGCTCCCCATACTCACCTCCAATATACATACCGGGTCCCTTGATATTCATATTTGTCTTCTTTCGTAAATTAACTGTCTAGTACATAATGTATTTCATATGAACAATCCAAATCTACATAGAATTCATATTTATTTTAAAAATCATGCCCCTAGTATATCAAATCACCTCTAAATTTTTTATTGCAGGTATCAATTTTGTATGTTGTAAATTGTAAAATTAATGTTATAAATGAAAAAAGCCCAAAATTATCTTTGGACCCGGATTTATATTTAATCCAGGTGTTTGGGGAGGGGGGGGGGGCAAAGGACATATGATGGCATTCTTATATGGAACTTGATATCATATATCCTAAATTATGTCAAAAACACAATTCACTAAACTTCCATTTTTGCGCCGACCCCCCCCCCCCGAAAGTTGGGGATATTAATTTCGGTCAGCCCGTTTGCCTTATAATTCTATCCGTCTGTTACACTTTTGTTTCAAGCGATATCTCGAGAAGTCTTTGAACATTTTCAGTGTAATTAAAAAAATAGCTTTGGGTCTGGGATGTAAAGGGAGGGGGGGGGGGTCCTGTCTATTAGCACCCGTCCGAATTATATGAAGATTTTTAAGATAAAAGCTTGTAAGAAGAAGCTTTATCAACTGACAAATTACGAACGGGCATCCCCCAGGATTTATAAAATGGCTATAATACCTGTGTATCAAAGCCTTATTAATTTATTTTTTGCAGCATATAGTATTTTAAACAAGAATTTCTTGAAAGTTTTTAGGGGTTTTCAATTTAGTTTTAGACCATAACTCCTTATTGTCTAGACCACCCTTCGTAAAGCCCCCCCCCCCTTTCGGCTCTACTAGATCAACACATACTATTATGTTTTATTTCATGCCACAGAATGGCATTTTTTTTTAATTTTCCTTTCATTTCCCTTCTCGAACCCCTTTACTTGTTTAAATGTCCATTGAAATGTATTGTAAAGTCACGGTAGCGACTTCGACAAAACGTGGCTTTGAGGTATCTTGTGGGGATTTTATCTATCGAAATCCCAATAAAATTGAAGAATTCAATAATGCAACTGTGAATACAATAGACTGCAATGACTGATCCCCGATTTTGGTTACGTTCGTTCGTAAGATGTCGGTGTTTCTCTATTAAGAGAACTTATCCGAATAAAAGAATTAATATCCTATATAACTTAATAATAAGTATCTTTATTGTATTTTACAAACATGGCAGATGTTTTACGAAACATTATTTTTTGGGGGTCATTTTTTTGTCATTTCTATTTGAAACTACTTTTCGGATTTTAAGTAGTTTCATATAGAAATGTAGAATTTAAAAAAAGAATGGAAATCTAAAACTATAAAGAAAGAGAAGCTATGCAAACCCTGTCCAGACCCCTATCAACAAGACGTTTTTTTAGAATTTCATTTTCAAATTATAAAAATCATAAGTTAAAATATATCAATGATAACACTTTGAATGAGCTTATGTAATAGAACTGGATACAAAAATTATTCTTGCTGGTAATAATTAACTATTATTAAACATTTTATCTATTTATTTATTTATTCATTTATTTATTTATCTGCTAATTTATTTAATTACTTAGGAAGAA